CTTTTCTCAACATACCTGTTATTCCTCATACAATGAGGTTTAACAATTATTTCGAGAGAAGAGTTTTCTCTTGAAATAATGCTGCTACATGGGGCATTTTATTTTGCAATAATGCGATTTCAAAATGGTGGCCGGACACAATTATGATAATTAAGCATGGGACATTTAAACCCTGTGCATCATTAGCAATTTCAGTACACTACATTTGCATCCCTATCTCAAGATAGGGAGCAAGTGTAGACATACCCTTAGTTCCCAGTCCTGGGAAGAAGGTCATTGTCTGAGCTAAATATTGGCTGAGAGATTGCTTATCTAGATCCACTGTGTTGCTTTCCTACCAGTTTTTCCCAACAGTCTCCTATCAATCCAATTAAAAAATACAGCCATTTCACTTTACTGACCCGGTCACGTAAGTTTTTATAGCATTACTACAGATCAGTATTTTTAGATAATTACACGCTGCTGTTCGTCCATCGAGGTTGATGAGGACCACCCACTGTCATCAGTTTAGTTGGGGGTGGGTTCGGAGATGGCTGATTAGTCCAATCCGAGCCCGAAATTGACGGTTACAGTGGGGACATGAAAGATCGGACTGCCAACTGGAGGAAGAGAAGAAACTTAATATGACCAGTCCTGGTGCTTTCTTGTGGTGATGCCAATTAACTTGGAGGCAGTGGAGTACACCAGCTGTTTGAAAGCTGCCCAGCTGGTGTCTATATCAGCGTCAGTTCCAGTGGCTTCCAACTTACATGCCAGAGCGTCAGCAAGTGATTGTTGGACGCCGCTGTCTTTCAGTCTAGAGATGTTTAGGCGCTTTGGGACCATGATGCCTTGTGGACGTCTGGGGGGGACCAAATCCTAAGGTTCATCTTTGAGATGAGCAGTCTGTGGTCCGTCCAGCAGTCGGCACCACCCATAGCATTGGTCACATGGACATCCTGTTGGTCTTTCCTATGGACTATTATATAGTCGATTAGATGCCAATGCTTTGAGCGAGGGTGCATCCAAGTTGTTCTGTTACGTTTGGACAGGCGGAACACGGTATTAGTTATTAGGAGATCATTTGTTGCACATGTCCTCAAGAACAGATGTCCATGGCTATTACAGCTACCAATGCCATATCTATCACTGACTCCCTTCCAGGAATCATGATCAGTACCAACTCTGGCACTGAAGTCGCCTAAGACAATCAGCTTGTCTGACTTTGGTACTGTAGCAATCAGCTCTTCCAGGTCTTGGTAGAATTTGTCCTTGATGTCTTCTGGGTTAGTCATCATTGGTGCGTAAGCATTAATAAATGTGACTTGCTTTTTCCCAGACAGAGGTAACTTCAGCACCATCAGCCGGTCATTGATTCCTCTTGGTAGGTTGGATAGCTTATTCACCAGATTTGTCTGCACAGCAAATCCAACTCCCGACTCGCGGCTTTCGTCTATCCTTCACACACTCCAGAAGAAGGTGTAACCTGCTCCAATTTCAGTCAGCGCTATTACAGCTACCAATGCCATATCTACCGATGACTCCCTTCCAGGAATCATAATCAGTACCAACTCTGTCATTGAAGTCGCCTAAGACGATCAGCTTGTCTGACTTTGGTATTATAGCAGTCAGCTCTTCCAGGTCTTGGTAGAATTTGTCCTTGATGTCTTCTGGGTTAGTCATTGTTGGTGCGTAAGCACTAACGAATGTGACTTGCTTTTTCCCAGACAGAGGTAACTTCAGCACCATCAGCCGGTCATTGATTCCTCTTGGTAGGTTGGATAGCTTATTCACCAGGTTTCTCACACAGCAAATCCAACTCCCGACTCGCGGCGTCCGTCTATTCTTCGCCCACTCCAGAAGTAGGCGTAACCTGCTCCAATTTCAGTCATCTGTCCTTCCTTTGCCAGCCGGGTCTCACTCAAAGCTGCTATATTGATCTTGTAGCGAGCAAGCTCCTTGGCAATCAGGGCAGTTCTCCTTTCGGGGCTGTCGGCATCTGTATGATCCATGAGGGTACGTATGTACCACGCTCCAAGAATAAGTGGAGTGTTACTGGTTTTCTTTGTATTTCGACCACATAAGCGGGATTCCCACCAGCCACGGTAAGCTTGTCAGGATTGGTGAAGCAGGCATTTTTTAGGGCACCTTTTCTAGCCCCTTCCTCAGACTACGGAGGTAAGCAGCGCTATCCTAAAAAGGACTGCTTAGTTGCCCAGGTGGCTGCCGAAAACCACTGCTGCTTCAGATCAGTGGATGACGACCCTATAGCCTGAGCCGCCTGTGTGCAGGTTCACCACAGCTAGCCCATCGCCGCAGGACATAGGGTGAAGGAATGGATGATAACATGGGTGATATGCGAGTAAATTTGATTAAAGTGAGGGAGAGTTGCGCATCGTCAACCTCACTCTCTCGTCCAAGCTTCATTGCTCCAGTGGCAAGACATAGTCAAGACGGCTGGAATGGAAGCTGGATGCAGTGGATGACCAGGGCGTTTTACGTGTCTTGCCGTGCTCTATGCTGTCCACAAAGCATTGCTGGAAATCGCCTTTCTGCCCGTTGACCACATGGTGATTCCTCCGCACAGTCCACCGAATCCAGTCTTCACGTGCATTGGGTGACAAGCCCAAAAACTCACCGATGGTTCAGAGCCCATCGGCTACCCTCACCTGGTTCAGCCGACCAGTCGAAGCCATTGCCCGTGGTGTGGCTGCTGTGCATGCTACAGCTACTTGGAGCCACAGGTGAGAGCTGAGTGTCAAGTGGGGACCAAAGGTGGACGAACTACTCCCGAGGGAGTATGGTGTGTCCTCTGACAAGAGGTGCTACCCCTCCATGAACACCCCATTACACAGCAGCTATGCATCTCCCACATGAGTTGTGAGCCATTTGCACTATGGTCATCCAAACCCAAAAACTGTGATGCCAGAGGCTGACAATCCACAACTGAGTTAAAGAGCATAAAGCAGATTCTGAAATCTTGTGTTAAGTTTAATTCTACACTGAAAAGCTATGTGCCAAGATTTGAGGTTCCAGTTCTTTATTTGCCAAAAGAGTTCATTAAAATTCCCAAAAGAATGATGTGACTTTTCTACATTCCAGCTGTTGATTTAAAAGTTGGAGATTCTTTCAATGCAAATAAAACATAGACCCCCTTTAAACTCAAGTCTGGCAGGTGTGAAAAGAAAGAAACAGTATTCCACTAACCTGTATTAATTTGCCATTTTAATCTGAGTCTACACATACAGATTCAGATTTGCATTACTAGTTACTTAACTGGATGTGTACATTTGCGAATGTTGTAGACCATGGCCCAGTTTATATAGACACACCATTGCTATTTATGAGGAATGAACTGGAGACTTTTGCCACCAGAAGCACACAGTCCTACCATGGGCTCATCTAGACTATGCTAAAATGTCGAAAGCTCTGCTTTCGAAAGTGAGATTGGAAGAAGATATGCAAATTCCTGCAGAATTTGCATATCTTCTTTCAACACTTTATTGTAGTCTAGATGAGCCCCATATGAGCTCAGGAAATAATGTTGATAGCTATGGTTAAATAGCAAAATGTTAAATTACCATAGGAACAGACAGAAGAAGGAGAGGGAGGCTTTTCATTCAGCGGGCAAAGGATTAGTTCCTATACCAGTATATGAAGTGTGTCTTACTGGAATGTAAAACACATAATATAAAGCAAATTAGGTATTTGTAGGTCACATATGGCAAGGTAAGAAATCTAACTGGTCATGGGCCTGCAATATATCTGATTTGTTTGTGTGTAATGGTTGCTTGCACACATCATTTATGCACATGCGAAAACATGCATGGTACCGTAGGTGCTTAACTTTAAAAATCTAGTCCAAATTGTACCATTGTACTTTTAAAACACTTTATGTATCTTTTGGTCTGCTGTTAACCTCTTTCTGCTTACAGAAGTTTGCAAGTTAGGTTTTCACAAAATTATACTGCAAACCTGTAATGTATACCCAAATATGATGTTATACCACATATTTTGATATCTACTCTAATCTGAATGCAGACAATTAACAGAGAGAACAGTACATGATGAAGTGAAAATATCTTCTGTAGGCATGAGAAGCAAAGTGTTGGGCTAAATCTTTGCACATAATTGAAACAATAATAACAAATACATTCTTTACTTAACGTTGTAATGAGCATAGATGTCAAGAGTGTAGTTTTATAATGCAGGCTTAGCTGCATGCTCTTTTTTTCCCCATTACATCTTGATACTAACAAGGTGTACTGTAGGAAGGTGAGGAAGATGCCTGAGGGGAGTAGTAATGGAGTGTACAGTCTTCTGCCTGTGGCAACTAATTCATATCCAGCATGGCTCAGTAGTGACTAAAACTTTCTAACTCATTACTTTACAAAGCACTGTGAAATATCTTGAATACAAACAGCACTATGTAAACCCAGAGTGCCACTGAAAAGAAGCTCTGCATGTGAAATAAGTTTGGTTGTCTGAATTCAGTTCCTATGGACATAAGTCCACTTCATAAAAAACACTGCTACAGCTGGCACTGGACGAAGTTCTCAGAACAGAGGTCAAAGACTGGATGGGCCTGGAGTCTGTACTACTATCTCATGCTTAGAGGTCACCTCTCTGGGGCAAGTCTGAAGCATATTGGCAGGGTAGCGTGGAGAAGCTTTATACCCCTTCTGCAATGTATCTGCTTTGTAGCTGAATAGACAACTGCAGCAATTGGGGGTGTCAATCAAACACCATGCATAAGCACTCATATTCACATTTTTCACATTAGCTTACTCTAGATTTCAGGGCCTTATTTAAATTGAGTCCTTACCTTAATCCCTACAGTGCTACTGTGTATGTCGTACTAATACCGAAATCTAGCAGCTATAAATAAATGATCTTTCTTCCTCTGCTCTGGGAAGTTGTTAAGATGGGTATTTCAATCATCCTTCTGTAACATGTAACATTTATAATATAAACCTAAAACAATATAATAATCCAAAATATGTGCTAAGATTCATACTCACCGCTGATTTTCCTGGGTGACCTTTTGTCTATTTAAGATGCATGTAATGTTGTTTTGAACTTCCTAAAAAAAAAAGCAAAATCAACTTCTCTATATATAAATGCAGAGAAATATTTTTCAGTTGTTAATAAAAATTTGTGATATTAATTGGCAGTGTCTATGATAAGTAATCGGTGGTGCTGCAATCTTTTTTAACTTCTTAACCTTCATCTTTGGACATTATGTAGTGCTATACCTTCTGTTGAGTCTCACAGTCTCTTAGGGTACGTCTAGACTACATGCCTCTGGCGACAGAGGCATGTAGATTAGGGTACCGGACATAGTAAAATGAAGCAGCGATTTAAATAATCGCCGCTTCATTTAAATTTATATGGCTGCCGCGCTGAGCCGACAAACAGCTGATTAGCTGCTTG